CGTCGCCGTGTATCAACGCAGAGTTGTCATCTCGCTTGGTTCAAGCATGCAAGCCAGGTTCGCCCGTGCGCCACAGTCCGTCGCCGTGTATCAACGCAGAGTTATCATCTCGCTTGGTTCAAGCATGCAAGCCAGGTTCGCCCGTGCGCCACAGTCCGTCGCGGCCCCGCACGTCAACCCTGCATACCCGACACCAACTCGTCGGATCGCCCAACTCTCACACTCACTTACCTTCCAAACTTGCTCGTTAGCCGACCCTCACTGATCGCGCTAACCTCGAAATTCTTAGAGAGACAACTAATCGCGCTTGCAAAATTTATAGCATGCACACTTGCGCGAGGAATACGGGATTAGCCCCAAGTGATGAGAAAGAGAAGAGAGGAAGTGCCTACGTCTGCATGTATGGGCGGCGGCACGGAGGACTGAGCCACTCTCCGCGCATCGATCTGGTCATGCAGCCATAGGAACCAATCAGGTCAGGGAAGAAGGCGTGCATGCGCGGGCGAGCACAAGGCGGGAAGAGGGAAGAACACGAAGGACATCAAGAACGAGAAGATTACAGTTGCAATTACAACCGCCGAAACTTTTACAATTACGTACAATATTAAGGAGCAAAAAGAAATCAAAACCCAGATCTTGTCGCGGCAAGGCATGCGTAAGCAGGGAGCGTCACGCAACAAAATCCAGAAGGCGCCTAAATTCCTATCTTAAGTCTTAATTGCAAAGGAAAATTCCGAAGGAAAACAATTCCAAGAGCCCGTGGGGGCTCGACTCCAGTCGAAAATTCAAAACGATATTCCCGCGTGATGATCGCGCCAAAAATTCCCATTGCTCTCAGCATAACAAGAGCGAAAAAACTATGGTACAATTATTTTTTGCGCTCGCTAAGCCGCGGTTCTCCAACCATTGGCACGGGATCTTCCCGACACCGATCTGACATTCTCAACAGAAAACATAAAAGAAATGAGGACATCCATGCAATTTGTTCGCCCGACCCGTCTGCCCACAGCTCACCCCTTCGACCCGTCGTATTTCCCCAAACAGCTTCGCGCAGAAAATCGCGCGGTTTCAGAAAGTGGTTCATCACAGAGTTGCATTATTATTGTTCCTAACCATCTTAGTGTGTGCGCTGGAATAGCGCACGTACGTACTAACCGAATTTACTTATTGATAAGCCTCGGCCTCAATGATCGAGGAAGTTGTCTAAAAGTGTGGCGCAAAAGTGCACACGCTTTTAATTTCATACCAACTCTGTCATCGTGGTCGATGTCACCGCTCTATCAACTGTAAAAACATGGTGAAACACCCTTGTAAGGGTATTTGGTCCGACAGTGCTACCGGTAGCTCTAGGCTCGACAAGGCTTGGCACACTGGTAGCAGGAGGTTCGGACTTGATAGCTGGGCGAGGTACTGGTGGTTCAAACGCCACCTCTGTCCACCTCCACTCAAGATGGACTCTCGGAAAACAAGGTCGCACTAGGGTTAGGATGGAGCACCATGGAAAAACCGCGAGTTGCAAGATGTGCACTCTCTACGGTTCCAGAGTTCCCTTCACGAGCCCTCCTGACAATTCTCAAAGGGGATTTTTCATAAGTCCCCTTTGAGAGTAAGTGGAGCGAGGTGGAACTCACAATCTTTCATGAGTCTTTTCATGGTGGTAGTGTTAAATATGGGAAATGGGAGATGCGATTTAGGCTAACTTTTTAAGGTTTGTGTCGGAATGTTGATCTCATTCGACCCCCTTTGCCCTGCTACAACTTCTCCTCCCTTCTGCTGGTGTTGAAGGGTTCCAAGTACTGGCGTTGTGTTGAACAGGGTCTTTTTTGACATCGTTGTATAAGGGATGCTGGACCCAATTTCCAGCTGACAGATTGTACAGGGACGCTGGACCCGATTTCCAGCAGGTGTAGCTCCCCACCAATAGATGGAGCCTTCAACGTCGGGACCCACTTAACGGGGCTGCTCTTATCACCTCGTTAAGTGCGATCTCCCGCATATGAAGTTTCTGTTATAAAAAAAAGAAAAGAAAAAAAGAGTAGTGGAGCGAGACCCATAGGCGGTGGTGTTATGCAGTGTCGAGCACTGGGGGTGAATCTCTAAAAGGCATCGCATCAAGCATCCCCAGGTACGTACGTTACTCAAGGAAATCGAACCAGGACCTCGCAACTGCAACTTGTCTGCCTTACGTACATCTGTCTCTTAGCTTAGCAAGTGCCAGTGGAGAGGGGTGCAGTACTGCTCTTTCGAGCCCGGTAACTGGCGTCTTACTGACCCTCCGATAGATGGATGAGGTGGAAAACGCGTGAGAGCACCTGGTATGAAAATAAAGAGAAGGCGCAAAAATAGCGCGCCGTGAACTGTTTAAAAACAGTCGTGAGTTCGAATCCTAGAGGACTATGCGAATGAAACCACCATGAAAAGAGAAAAAGAACATGCTGAGGGAAAAGAGAGGGACTTCGTAGCAAGTGGGGATGCGCCATGTAGTTCAGTTTTATACAACTGTGTGACGCCAGAAGGCGGGTAACAAACGTTGAATCATCATCGTATTTGGATTCATTCATCTAGTCCCAGCAGGTTTCGAACTCAGGTCTCCCTTTCTACAGTCCATGGTGTACCTCATCCTATTCCTCCTATTGGACAAACCATATCCTTGGGGGCCTGGATGTGTCTGCAGCTATTCTCTGACAAAGAAAACCTGGCCTTACCTTGCCCCCTGTATTCATTGAAGAGGAAAATCCCTTGTACTTCACCACCCCAAAAAAACTCATAGAATACTACGAAGCCCGTGCCTCTCCCTCCCTTGCCAACATGACCCCAACACGACGCCCCAACCAATCACAAAAAGGTAGGCCGCTGGCTCCCCCTCCAAAAAGGCGGGATGTGTAATCCAACTTCTTTTTTTTTTTTTTTTTTTTTTTTTTCTGTTCTTTCTGTACTCTTCTCTCAACTTCGACCACCTCAAGAGGTTGTCTCATTTGGACTTTTTCATTTTCCCAAGAAATTGTAAAAATCTGTGCATGAAGAAGACAGCCCGCTTGTTATTTCAGCATTGAAAAAACAAAGAAGAAAACCTTCTTTTTTTTGGGTGGGGTGCTGTGTGACTGCGTGCACTTGGCTTCGTGTCCAACTGGGTGGCTGGCGGCTCTGGCCTTTCTGGACACAGTCCACCCGTGTGACCACACGGATGCCCAGAGTTTCAAATTCGCGGTACCAAATGCGGCAAAAATTTGAGACTTTAGGTTCTCGTGTGAGTATGCCCAGAGGTAATTCTGTTCATTCATCGGCGGGATTCGAAGCCCAGGTCCGGTTATCAACAGCACGGGTGTACGCTTCTCCCACACGGGCTTGGTCCACGTCGGTCATCGTTGTTCCATCCATCCACATGGGATGGCACATACCAGAGGAACGTTTATTTCCTGTTTCGTTCCTGTTCCTCTTCCTCCATTCTACTTGCCTATTTTGTTCCATCAATAATCCTAGATCTTTACGGTGAGAGGGCGGCAAACTCACGCCAGCTCTACCGCATTTACGGCCTGACCTGGATGCATCTGACTGTAATTACGCCCATAAATAGTTTCAAAAAAATGGTCGTGTGAGTATGCCCTGAGGCGAGTGCGACAGGAATAGGAGAACGAGGGATGAGAGGTTGCGCAGCAAACTAAAGAGCGTGTGTGTGTGTGTGTGTGTGTGTGTGTGTGTGTTTTGTGACATGTTTGCTGTACACAACTCTACTGAAAAAGCATGACTGTGCCAGGACTGTTTCGTCGAACTTTCACCTTAATCTGGATGCATTTAACTGATGGTTAACGACTGACCACGTTGTCCAGAGTTAGCGATAACCCTGAGAAAAAGCGGTCGGCTTTACTCCAACCAACCCTCTGTGTGTGTGTGTGTGTCTGTGTGTGTGTGTGTGTGTGTGTGTGTGTGTGTG